TTGTTTTTTTGGTACGGGGGATCGAACTAGGGCCCTTGCGCTTTTGAGGCAGGCAGCGGAACCACTGAACTAAATCCCCAGCCCCATATATTTATTATTTTTACAAAAGATACACCTAAAGCACAGATAAAGAAAGGTTAGAATAGGGGCCAGGGATTTAGCTCAGTGGTTTCGCCGCCTGCTGTGCAAGCACAAGGACCTGAGTTCGATCCCCGGTACCAAAAAAAAAAATAAGGTTGGAATATACAAGGCAAAGTGTAACAAAAATCAATCTAATGTGATCCTTAAAAAGCTTCTTAGGAGTAAAGCAGTACAATAACATTAATGAAAGCTTCAATTCCCCCAGAAGATAAAGCAGTTCTAATTTTTATAATCCTAATAGCAATGCCTCATTGACTGAACTATGAGAAGAAATAGACAAGGCCCATTGTCAGATTATAAGATCTTTTTATGTATTCTTAGTAACTCATAGCTCAACCAGACAAATCAGTAAGGAAATAGACCTGAGCAGAGGTATTAGCAGGTTTTATCTAAGTGATGAACAGCCTTGTGCAGAATATACATTCTTCTCAAGCAAAAATGGAACACTAATGACACCCGATCACAAACTTAGCCATGAAGGAAGCCTCAACAAATGTGCAAGGATTCCTCTTTTTTCTTTTTTTTTTTTACTTTTGAGACAGGGTCTCACTATGTAGTTCAGGCTGGCTTTGAACTCACTATGTAGCCCAAGCTGGCCTCCAACTGGAGACAACCCTCCTGTCTCAGCCTCCCAAGTGCTGGGATTACAGGCGGGTGCCATCACACCCAGCTCTATACTGTTTTAAAATCATGAAATCTCACAGTAGCTTGGAGTTATATTTTTCACTTAACAATTTTTCATGTCATTAACAATTCTTTGTAGCCTCTCTGTCAGCTGCAAAATGTTCCATCGATAGGCTATGCCATCACTTCCTCATGCTCTTATTATTGAATATTATTAGGTTACTTCCAGTTTTCTGAGACCATCAACAGACCTGTAATTAACTTTGTTATTTAGAAGCACCATTCATCCAAGGACCTCAAAGGACTTAGAATCATCTAATTTACTCTCTGGTCAGTGAAACAAAGGCATTTTCTATTCTTTTGAGCCAGTAATTCATCCCCACTTCTGACCAGTGTGTGACCCCAAAACATTTGTCCCGATCAGGGCAGTATCTGACCTGCCTTGTTGACTTCACTGGAAAGAGGGCTGACTTTACCACCAGACCTGAGCAAAACACGGTGCTGCAGGTGCCCTCTGCCTCAGCCTGGGGCAAATGAACTCAGTTACAGAAGCCTGAACACACTCATCTGGGTGTGAGCCCACCACAAGCCAGCAGCCCCCCCCCCGGCATGGAAACTTGTGCAAGGAGTGTTCTTTAGAAATAGGCTTCAGCTCATCAAAGCTTTGTAATTCATCTCACACTTAGTTCACATGTGTATGGGACTCCTCAGCATGGGACACATTACATTAATATTTCCCTGTAATTTGTTTTTGTTGCAGAGGAGATTTGGGCAATTATTTTTACCCTTCTATTTTTTTAATTGCAAAATTATTTAACAAGCTCTTTTGAAACACCGTGGTTCATCAAGTTCAACAAGAGGAAACAGCGATTATCTAGTTGTGCATTTCAGAAATGAAAATGAGATTGTACATTGCTTTAGGAACAAACAGCTGCCTCGATATCTGGTTCATTATGATATGAATGAGGCATTAAAACTTGTTTGTGGCATGTCTGCCATTTGATCTTCTGCCATATGGTGATTCAGCATTAACTGTCTGTTCATTAAAGCACTGGTTCATTTCTAGGAGAGAAGACTCTCTTCCTCTTCTCTGTAATGTCCCTTCCTCCTGTATCCAGACTCTGTCCACATCCCTACATCTCACTCTCCTCCTTTGTTTTCTCTCCCAAGTAGCTATAAGTGTAAAGGAAAATGGAGGTGCGTAAACATGATGACCATTATCATCTTCAGTTCTACTTTCTCAGCTCCCAACTCCACTGGGGTCATTAAAGCATGAAGTTTCCACATAGTGAGCAAACATGACCGTGAAATGTAGCCCGGATTGAGAATACACCAGTATGCTTTCCATCCTCAGGTGTTGCTCTTCTCTCTGCTTGGTGCCCATTTCAGGGGGCCACACTACCTCAACCCCAGGCAGGCACCAGGGATATCATCCCCTTTGCTTTGCATTACGTGGGGACAAGGGGTCCTAAAGATAATCTCACTTCCCCCTTTAAGGGGTGCAGGTGGCTGGTTAATATCAATAGCTGAAATGTGCCCAGAATAGAAAGATCTACTTGAGAGTGCCTAGAGACTCTCTCTACTTCCGTTTCACAGGTAGGAAAAGATGAGGCAGAGGTAGGTAAGTGACTTGCACAGGGTGTTCCAGTTAGTTAAGTGGTGGGGCTGGGATTTGAATGCAGGGCTGTGACTTCAGCGATTCTCTAAAGGAATCAAATACTACTGTAATTTCCTCATTCCTTCAACCAAGAGATACAAACTGAGCACCAGCTATGTGCTGGACCACTGTTCGTGCCAGGATCCAGAACTTGTCACCTAGGGGAGGAATTCAGTAAGCAAGCACCCAGCCTGGTGAGGTCAGTGCTGCTCAGAAAGCCTCGGGGGCACCCTGGGAGGCAGGCCTCAGCACACGAAGACCGAACTCAGCCCCCGATCTCATTATGGTCCCCTTCTAGCAGCTTGTTCAGCAAGATGCCTATTACAGCCCAAAAGAGCGGTGATGACTTACCTCCCCTGGTGCCTGCGGCTGCCCTGGAGTGTGATTTGGACGGGGATGCTGAAGGGCTGCATGAGACCAAGGCTGGGCAAAAGGGGCTCCTCTCACCTGAGTCGTGCCCCCCAAAGGCCACCAGAGGGGAAGGCTTAAGCATCCACGCAAGTGGAGTCCCAGAGGAAGCCCCCAGGCCCTGGTGCAGTGACACCCATCACAAACACTGTCACCCCCGGAGCTGCCAGCCTGGTAAACCGTTCCTGGAGGTGGGAACTCGGGGCAGACTGGCCCCAGTGGCTCTGAAGATAGATTCCTGGCCAGGTGGATCAGCCCGTCACAAATGCTCGAGATCTGTGTGGCTTTCTGGACCCAAAGCTTCTGCCCTATGGTTGTCCTGTGCCTGCCACCACCTTGTCACCTGTTTCTGCTTCAGCAAGCAGGTTCATCGTCATAGAGACCTAAACGCTTGTGGAAAGTTCTGAGACCCAAGGGACCCTCTATAATTGGTGAGGGACACACTTGGCACAAGGTATTAGGAGAAGAGGAAATGTTTTTCCCAGGCCACATTTCCTTTTTCACAAATTGTTGGAATGCTATCATAAAGAATAGTTTTCTGTGGTTAGTTGCACATTCTAATTAAGAAAATTAACTTTTATATGTGATTTCCCAAATTTTCAAGGCTGACAAGGTGATAAATACTCACCATTAAAACTATCTCAAAGTATTTTTTAAAATGTAGCAAATATCATTTTGATAACTTAAAAGGGCATTTGGGGATCTTTACTGCTAAATTATTTACTGCTAAATTGCAAACATTAATTAAGTGTATGAGATATGTATGACAGAATGTCAGTAAGCTTTTTGTTGTATTTTTTTTAATCAAGGCAAGATTATCTTATTATTTTCCAAAATGGTGAGGTGAACAAGAATGTAAGCATAATCTCACCTAACAATACTGTATAGCTCTTTTAACTGTTACTTGTAGCCATTTTGAAATCATTTAATAAAAATACATATTTGCACATTCCTGATTTGTACTATTATTCTGTTAGAGGTATGGACTCAATCCTGAGGAAAATATTTGTTTTTAGTGAACCAACACAATTTACAATAAAAACTGATGACACCTAGTATTTTTTTCCTTCAGCTTCCTACTTCCACCTTGGCCTTCTAAACACATGATAAGTTTTCCCTGTTAGATTTAGCTGTGCTAATAAATTACTTCTGCAACTTGGAACTTAACTCTCTTTGAAGCAGAGAATGATTTGTTGCTACTTTTATGTATTTGATTCAGCCTCAGAAATATGGTAATTTTTGGAGCCCATGAGACCTTTTGGGAGAGGATCAGGGTGAGGCATAGTCTCACTGTTTTCCCAGGCTGGCCTTGAATCCTGACTGCAGCCATCCACTCTCATCTCAGCCTCCAAGTAGCTGAGAGAGACACCTCATGTGCACCCCCAGACCCCTGAGCCCCTGTCTGTACCCGGAACTTGCATCTGCCCTTACAGGACCCTCCCAGCCATTCCCAGCTTAGCATTCCTGCTCCCCTTGAGAGAAAATACTCGTGCATAATCTTTAAAACTTTATCTTTAAACTGAACGAACTGAGAAAGTGGGTCTTTCTAATCACTTTTAGCCCTATCCAAACTTCAACAGTTTGGATAGGGTCTGACAGGTTTGTTTAGGTTGCTGGCAAGTGTGGGCCTGCCTATGTCTTGGGTGTGGCTGTCACAATGGCCATCTGAGACTGCTCTCAGAGCTAGCTGTGCTTGGTTCTCTTTGGGTTTTTTTTTTCCCATTAAGTTTATTGGTACATTTTAGGTATAAAGTACAGTTACATTCATCATTGGGATCTTGTACCATTACATGAGTATCTTGGTTCTTATTTTCTTTCCCCTTCCCCTGCCCT